CCCTTCTGGCTGTTTCTTTGCCCTGTTCTATTATGTGCTTCTGCCTCTCCCTTGTGCGTAGCTTTGCCGTGTGGCATATTAGTTTCTAGTGCTTGGCGTCACTCGTTTCGCGTTTTGGCTTAGCATTTCGCCTTTCCTGGCTTTGCGATTCACCCTTCACGGGTACGCCGGGGCGCATCCGATCCCACGATCGTCGTCGCCCCTAACTCAACAACAACAACAACCCCAGCAGCACCATTGACAACGGGATCGCCTTCCTCAGCTTCATGATAACCATACAAGTACCAACCAGGACTCCACAGAGACGGCCAGACTTGAGAACATTCGCCTGACAGGCGGGGACACTCCCATATCCCCAAAAGAACCGGCGGAGCAGGCTCTCCGGGAACTCAAACGGAAGCCCCCGCACCACCACAAACGTCACTGTAATACATAAGTCCGTCACACAAACCGTACATACTGCACAAGGCAAAAGTATAGTACGTTCAGCAAACTTGTCCACCATGTACTGGGACAAACTTTTCTCGGTACACTGCTGCGTCAGACAGTTTAACCAAGGCCCGACGGTCCCCAGCCAGCTACACACTACACACATCCGCAGCATTAACACCCAGCACATCCAGGAGAGCGACCTCCAACAAAGAGTAGTCCACCAATCCAGAGAAGGCCAGCTCAATCGTGTACACACGCTTCACAGTCGACATGGGAACGCCATCCCGCCGGCCTGGCAGGCCAGAGCCCACACAAAACGCCACCAGCTGTGTTAACGCCAAGCGTCCAGCCAATACTGAGGAGCGAATGTAAACTGGACCACTCCGCACGGCTGCCAAACAGCCAATCAGATGAATTGTTAGACATAGGTTAGGTTAGGTCAGATGTTTGGGCTCTGTTGGCGATTATTTGCATTTGAAGTTCGTGGGTGAAGCATTTACAGTGGTGTGATTCGAACAAACGTCATTAGTGAAGTACTGTTTGAGAAATATTTGAACATTATCAGTTATGAGTCTTTTTCCGTTTTTCAGTCATAAACTGGGGGTTTGACAGCTGAATAAAGGAGTATTTGTCCATTGTTAATTAGGATTGGCTGAACATTTACAGCGTTGTGATTTGAAGTAGTAAGTCGTGTGTAAACAGTTTTTTATTCATAAACAAGAGGTTTGGTGGTTGAATTATCTTGTATTTGGCCTTTGTTGATGCAACCCGTCCTCGACTCATGTCCATTACATTCAGCGGTTGACCCCACAGACGCATTCATAAATTTTTACATGCTGTTCATTCAAAACAGGAATTTTTCCAATATAAATTATTATTATAATATATTAACTTATTGTGCATATATAGGCATAGGTTAGGTTAGGTGTTTAGGTTCTGTTGACGATTATTTGTATTTGTAGTACGTGGGTGAAGCATTTATAGCGTTATGGTTTGAATAAAATTCGTCAGTGAAGCACTTGTGTAGGAAGTGTTCGAACGAAATCCGTTGAGTCGTGTGTAAACCGTTTTTCATTCATAAACAGGGCATTTGGCGGGTGCATGGAATCACTTTTGGGTCTTTGTTTGGAGGACGGGCTGGATGAGGACAGACTAGTTGAAGACAGACTGCATGACTTAAAACTGATTATGTTTGAATTTTTCTCGAACAATGCTTTGATCACTTTATATGTTCGGATTTTACCTCCATTAATGCTTCACTCACATATTACAAATACAGATAATGGCCAACAGATCCTACACACATAATTAAACTACAGTACACACAATTCCAATATAACAAAATCGGTATATAATTGAAAAAATGTCGGTTATGAATATGCAGCACATTACATTGACAACTACATCCATAAGGTCGGCCGGAGCTTGGACGAGCATTGCCTGAGGATTGGATGAGATTCTGAAGTTTACAAATATTAAGGTTAGGTTGTTGCCAACAGTGATGACCATTTGCTACGGTCTATGTGACCGGACTTGTTTACAAAACATAAATCAGGTGTGGAAGCTTCACAAAAGCTCTCAATTTGCTTTTTTAACTCTCAGTATATTCTTCCTTCTCTTTATCTAACAAGTGTACTGGAAATGCTGTTCAACATGGGTCTCTTCAAACAAGTGACTTTTAAATTTTTACTTCACCTTCCAAATCTGCATTAAAATGAAACGCTGATTTGAATTTCATTAGATTATTGTTTGACAGATTTGTATTTGAATATAAATCTTGTGGAAATTCATAAATCTTGTGAAATTGCCTTGTTTCTATCTAAAAGGTTTGCATTAATTCCATTCTCTGTAGCACAGCGATAAGAACCATTGGCTCAAACGATTGGATCCCGGAAGGTTGGGAGAGAAAGCCGGGTAAAGAAAGACTTGTGGGCATTTTTATCAACACCTAATTCTGTATATTTAGAATTAAATAGACAACCGACAATTAGGCACTGTAGCAGGCTATATCTTGGAGAACAGTTTTTTTTATTGATTTACAATCTCAAATTACAGAAAAACATAAAACAGGAACAAAACAAAAAATAATGTAAAAAAGTAAGACAGGGGTGCCACATCACCAAACAGAGCAGGCTCAAAACAACAGAACAAAACACGGAAAATGACTCAAACAATGTAATACACATGAACAAAAACAGAAAATAAGCAAAATAGTACACTCAAGGGAACATAACAGGAACATTAAACATCAATACAAAAACCCAATACAAAAACAGTAAAATATAAAAATATACAGTAAAGAATAATATACAGTAAAAGACACGAACCCACTACTAGAGCAGGGAAATAGGCAGAAAATACTACACAGAAACACACCGCAAACATAAAAATTAAATCACAAAAAAATACACACAGAAGAGCCACCGACAATGGCAAACCGGAACACTGGCACACGCAGGAGCCGGGAAAGGGAACCCGCATACACACACACACACCCACGCATCCACAACCCCGGAATGTTATTCACAGAACTACGAAAACTTATCCGGAACGCCTCCAGGAAACTTCTCCGGGAGATATCGCAGGCAGTACGCCTCCCACCGTACCCAGTCCCACTTGGTAAGGCGACCCCCATGGCAGCGCCACAGGGTACTTCATGTAAACAGGAATCTCATGATTGTAGAAGCACCGCACCGATGCTACCCACACAGGCGACAGAGAAACGGGTCTGACACCACAGCTTCCTTCACCCTGGCGTCTTCCGTCGAGAATCTTTCTTCAACACCACCACCAAGTCCCGAGAACCATCTGCTGGCACCTCAGACACAATAACTCCCCACTCTGCGAAACCGCCACAGCTGCCTCGATCACCGGAGGCACCGATTATCGACCACCAACACGGACGGTAACACATGAAAATCCACAGACTCACTCATCTCAATCCCCGACCGTCCAAGTGGTTGGCACCATTCCTCCCCCCCCCCCACCCACCCGTCCCTTCCTAAATCCTTATTCTGATGTTGACTAGACCACACACTAGAAGGTGAAGGGACGACGACGTTTCGGTTTGTCATGGACCATTCTCAAGTCGTTTGTGAGAATGGACTTGATCGGTTTGAGAATGGTCCAGGACAACCCGAAACATCGTCGTCCCTTCACCTTCTAGTGTGTGGTCTGGTCAACATACTTCAGCCACGTTATTGTGACTCATCGCCTCCTTATCCTGACCCCTTCCTGGTGTTATATAGTCGTAATGGCTTGGCACTTTTCCCTGATAAGTTCCTTTCATCTCACACAAGCCCCCCATCACGCGGCAATGCACCACCACAGACCTCTGCAGAAGACATAGCAACTGGAGACGCATCCCTACGGTCCACCAAGGGAGCAGCAAGCAAGCGCCGGCCCAACACCCAACGCAACCTCCACAACCCCCGATGGCACAGGTACAACAACTTCCTCAGCACGCACAGAGTCCTCCTGGACCTCCAGAAGAGGGAAGTCGTCCTCCCGGAACAGGTTGATACACTCCACAGCGCCTGCGTGGCACCCATCAGCCTGATGGCCCAACAAGCCACACCGGAAATATCCGCTGCTGACCAGCATAAAAACTCCGGATAAAATATCCCATCAGGAGTACGGAAGACGGGACTGCTGACGTAAGCCGCATCACGAGGGTCCGGATCCCATTTGGCACACCCTTCAGTCGGTCAGATGAAATGACATTAATCCAAATGTTTAACACTCGGCCAAACTGCCCAAAATATCGGTGCAGCAAGACATCAGTGAACTCGAAGGGTGCACCATGGACACTCACATAAGTCGTAGCGCCACTGCGATCTGACACGATCACAGTCTCAGCACCCTTGGGCAACGTAAACGAGCGTCCAGCAAAACGGCCTACAAAGGCCGCTAACACATCCGCTGTAGTAAACTTAACGACCGCCCGATGGGTAGAGATGATCTGGACGCATTCGACGAAAGCCACATCAACTTGCAGGAGGTCGACAAAACCACCTCCACCGCAGAACAAGTCACCGAGCCTGAGAATTCCAACCCAGCCATCAACAACCGCTTCACAGGAGGCAATGATGACTCCATCACTCGCGGCCACACAGCCGCAGTGCACCCGTCACGTCACGAGCAACAGCCAATCACCAGCCAGAGCTCAACCCCCGCAAACACAACTAGGTGAGTACACACTCCAGGCAGCAACGGCGGAGCGGCTGACACAACCTCACCCTAGAGAGGGTGAGCAGACAATCCTAAATCAAAATTTTGCATTAATTCCATTCTCTGTAACGCAGCGATAAGAACCATCGGCTCAAAAGATTGGATCCCGGAAGATTGGGAGAGGAAGCCGGGTAGAGAAAGACATGTGGGCATTTTTGTTCACTCCTAATTCTGTATATTTAGAATTAAATAGACAACCGGCAATTAGGAAAGAGGTAACCCGCTTACATTTTGAGGAACAGTTAGTCGCTGCCTCTTTAAGACTAAACAGGCTTTGTGCTGTCCCTGATAATGGGAATAGGAATAATTTCTTATTGACTCATTACAATACTTTCCAGGCTGAAAGAGGCGCTGTGGGGCTGTGAGTTATCAGAGAACCTGCCTGAAGCATCCTTCCCAGAGCTGCTGGAGGACGACCGAGCTCTTCTCAGGTTCCTCCAACAGCTTGAAGTTGTGGGCTTGGTCTTCGTCACTGACACACCCACACAACAGAGACAACTACACAGACTCGCTCACAGGGTTACCAACATCAAGAAGACAAATTATGGGTAAGTAAATGCCATTACTTAGTATACAAAATATGATATTATCGTGAAAAGTGTTGCTGGGCAAATTTTTATAACGTATGACAGTACTACATCTGGTTGGACTTCAGTTAGGCGAGAGTGATTTGGTGTCCATACTTGGGATTGCATGTAATTTCCCGTACATGAAGCCTGGAGCAAAGATCTTGTGCATGAAACCCGAAGTAAAGCTCCCGTGCATAAAACGCTGGAGCAAAGTTCCCAAATATAAAGCCTGGAACAAAGATCTTGTATATAAAGCCTATAGCAGAGTTACCGTACATGAAGCCTGTAGCAAAGTTCCAGTATAAAAAGCCTGGAGTAAAGTTACCGTACCTGAAGCCTTCAGCAAAGTTACCATAAACCAAGCCTGAAGTAAAGCTACTGTACATGAAGCATGGAGGAAAGTTCCGGTAAATGACGTCTGGAGCAAACTTACCATGCATGAAGCCTGGAGCAAAGTTCCTGTACATAAAGCCTGGAGACAATTTACTGTTCATGAAGCCAGAAGAAAAGTTCTGTAACATGAAGCCTGTAGAAAAGTTAGCGTACAAGAAGACTAGAGCAAAGTTACCGTACATGAAGCCCGGAGCTTCTTGTACAATAACTGTTGTACATGAAGCCTGGAGCAAAATTGCCATACATGAAGTCTAGAGGAAAGTTAATGTGCATGAAGCCTAGAGGGATGTTAATGTGCATGAAGCCTAGAGGGACGTTACTGTACATGAAGCCTAATGGGAAGTTACTGTACAAGAAGCCTAGAGGGAAGTTACTGTACATGAAGCCTAAAGCGAAGTTACTGTACATGAAGCCTAGACCGAAGTTACTGTACATGAAGCCTAGAGCGAAGTTACTGTACATGAAGCCTAGAGGGAAGTTACTGTACAAGAAGCCTAGAGGGAAGTTACTGTACATGTAGCCTAGAGCGAAGTTACTGTACAAGAAGCCTAGAGGGAAGTTACTGTACATGAAGCCTAGAGCGAAGTTACTGTACATGAAGCCTAGAGGGAAGTTACTGTACATGAAGCCTAATGGGAAGTTACTGTACAAGAAGCCTAGAGGGAAGTTACTGTACATGAAGCCTAATGGGAAGTTACTGTACAAGAAGCCTAGAGGGAAGTTACTGTACATGAAGCCTAGAGCGAAGTTACTGTACAAGAAGCCTAGAGGGAAGTTACTGTACATGAAGCCTAATGGGAAGTTACTGTACAAGAAGCCTAGAGGGAAGTTACTGTACATGAAGCCTAGAGGGAAGTTACTGTACATGAAGCCTAGAGGAAAGTTACTGTACATGAAGCCTAGAGTGAAGTTACTGTTCATGAAGCCTAGAGGGAAGTTACTGTACATGAAGCCTAAAGGAAAGTTACTGTACAAGAAGCCTAGAGGGAAGTTACTGTACATGAAGCCTAGAGCGAAGTTACTGTACATGAAGCCTAGAGGGACGTTACTGTACATGAAGCCTAGAGCGAAGTTACTGTACATGTAGCCTAGAGCGAAGTTACTGTACATGAAGCCTAGAGGGACGTTACTGTAGGGAAGTTACTGTACATGAAGCCTAGAGGGAAGTTACTGTACATGAAGCCTAATGGGAAGTTACTGTACAAGAAGCCTAGAGCGAAGTTACTGTACATGAAGCCTAGAGCGAAGTTACTGTACAAGAAGCCTAGAGGGAAGTTACTGTACATGAAGCCTAGAGGGAAGTTACTGTACATGAAGCCTAAAGGAAAGTTACTGTACAAGAAGCCTAGAGGGAAGTTACTGTACATGAAGCCTAATGGGAAGTTACTGTACATGAAGCCTAAAGGAAAGTTACTGTACAAGAAGCCTAGAGGGAAGTTACTGTACATGAAGCCTAATGGGAAGTTACTGTACATGAAGCCTAGAGGGAAGTTACTGTACATGAAGCCTAATGGGAAGTTACTGTACATGAAGCCTAGAGGGAAGTTACTGTACATGAAGCCTAAAGGAAAGTTACTGTACAAGAAGCCTAGAGGGAAGTTACTGTACATGAAGCCTAGAGGGAAGTTACTGTACATGAAGCCTAATGGGAAGTTACTGTACATGAAGCCTAGAGGGAAGTTACTGTACATGAAGCCTAGAGGAACGTTACTGTACATGAAGCCTAATGGGAAGTTACTGTACATGAAGCCTAGAGGGAAGTTACTGTACATGAAGCCTAATGGGAAGTTACTGTACATGAAGCCTAGAGGGAAGTTACTGTACATGAAGCCTAAAGGAAAGTTACTGTACAAGAAGCCTAGAGGGAAGTTACTGTACAAGAAGCCTAGAGGGAAGTTACTGTACATGAAGCCTAATGGGAAGTTACTGTACAAGAAGCCTAGAGGGAAGTTACTGTACATGAAGCCTAGAGGGAAGTTACTGTACATGAAGCCTAAAGAGAGAAGTTACTGTACAAGAAGCCTAGATTAAATTAGCTGTACAAGAAACCTGGCCAACCCGTCCTCGACTCAAATCCATTACATCCAGCGGTCAACCCCCACAGATGCATTCATACAATTTTACATGTTATTCATTCAAAACAGGATTTTTCTCAAATATAAATTAATATTATAATATATTAGCATATTGTGCATAGGTTAGGTTAGGTTAGGTGTTTAGGTTCTGTTGGCGATTATTTGTATTTGTAGTACGTGGGTGAAGCTTTTATAGCGTTGTGGTTCGAACAAAATTCGTTAGTGAAGCACTTGTTCCGGAAGTGTTCGAACGAAATCAATTTTAATTTTTTTGTTATTTTTTTATTTTGCTCCGAGGGGCGAGTTTATTGGGCAGCGCCACTCATCCTGTGAGTGCTCATACGGCTATAGCAGCATGTACAACACTCTCCAATAGGAAGAAAACCCGCTGGGTTGTTCATCCTGTCACTTGTACCCTGACATAGCCTAGACTTGCTTAACTGTCTCAGGTGAACAGCTCTTCAAACAGGAAGATTAACATCTGTCAACCCTCAAAATCTTACGTTATCTTGCTGGTGAAAATGGGGAAATCTCTTAAGAACAGTATTAATATTTGACAAATAGTGTTTTGCTAACTCAAACAATGTGGGGTTTATTATTTTACATATATTTCTAATGTCTCCTAAGTGTTCACATTCACGTAGATAGTGATCAAGGCGGTGTCAGTCACTCTCATCACAGATTCTGCAACTCCGCTACTCAGCTGTTGTTTCCATTCCGAATCTCCATGGATATTTGTATCAAAGACGGATTCTCGCTATTATTGATTCTCTCCCTCAACCACCTCCTCTTCGTCCATAATGATTGGGATTGCCAGTAGCAACCATGTTGTACCATCGTATAGGTTCACTGGTTTGTGCTTCTATCCTCCTTTCTTCAGTTACCGTGTCACGGTGATGTTGTCTGACAATACCTCTAATTTGTAGAAGAGTCTTTGGTATGAAGTATTCAATACGATCACCTTCTTGAGGTTATCTTGAGATGATTTCGAGGCTTAGCGTCCTCGCGGCCCGGTCCTCGACCAAGCCTCCTATTTGTTACACCCCCCCCCCCAGGAGCAGCCCATAGTAGCTGTCTAACTCCCAGGTACCTATTTACTGCTAGGTAACAGGGGCATCAGGATGAAAGGAACTCTGTCCATTTTGCTTCCGCCTCCACCGGGGATCGAACTTGGAACCTCAGGACTACGAATCTGAAGCGCTGTCCACTCAGCTGTCAGGCCCCCCAATACCTTTAGCAGCCAGCACATCTGCTCATTCATTTCCAGATATTCCAACATGGGGAGGTTGTCAACAGAAACTTGACAACTCTTTCCTGGTTGGTTAGTGCTGCACCAGCCCAGCCATTGACAGGATTAGATGACCCATCAGTGTAGATTTAATTTAGTTTATCTCCGGCTTCTTTATAAATTTCCTCAAGATACTTGTGTCTCATTTCTTGTTGTAACATGTTGGATTTTTTGTTGCCATTTCATTGATGATAATCCTGCATGAGTCATCCTCCCAGGGCGGTAACCTCTCTACAGGCATGAGCTCACTGGCTTGCTCAAGCAAGTGAAGTTCTTCGAGGTAGCAGACTGATCTATGATGCCATTTTTTGCTTCTCCTGTTTCCTCCGGTAAGTAATACAGAATTCAGTTTTTTCTTGGCAATATCATTGTACCAGGGGTGTCTCGGTAGGTCATAAAACTGGTGCGACATAATCTATGACGGAGCGCACATAGGCTGTGTACATCATTTTAAGAACGGCAATAGAGGCTCCATGTCCATTCCAGGTCATAGATTTCAGTGCCCTGAGTCGACTTTTACATGTTCCTATGAGTTGGTTAAGCTCCTCTTGTTAGAACCGACAATGACGCCAAGGTACCTGTAGTGGTCAACCTATTCAAGTGTTACACCATTAATTTGTAGTTCTTCATTTTCTCCCCTCTTGTGATGAGAGTATGCTTTTGTCTTGTTTGTGGAGAGAGTGAAACCGAGCTCAATACATTTCCTTCCAAGGAGTTCAATGGACTGTTAAAATTTTCCCAAGGTCGGGGCTTGTAATAAGACATCATCTGCATACCCCTCTTGTTGCGTCCCTTCCGGAAAATCAATGTTTGCAATGATGTTCAAAAGTACATTGAATAGTGTGGGGCTTAACACTCCCTCTTTGGAGGTACCGTGTACCATATTCATGGTTCTTGAGACTGCTCCATTGCAGCAGACCTTGGCTGTCCTCCTTGTGAGGTAGTCTTCAACCCATTTCTTGAGTTTTCCCTTGACACCCATGCATGCAAGCTCGTCCAGGATCGCAATCCCCTGCGCTTTGTCGAAGGCTCCTTTGATGTCAACAAATACAGAGTACTTAGCCGTGTCATTAGCAAAGTAATTAACTATACAATTTGCTGTGCTACGTCCTTTAATAAATCCATTGATCCCCCTCCCCTAGCCTGCCTATTTTGTGCAACAGTAGGTTTAGGATGATCATTTCAAGCACCTTGCATGTGCATGACATGAGGCTGATAGGTCT